ACATAAAGTTGCCATGTGACTCCTAAGAGTGCAATTCCACTCCTAGATCTATCCCCAGGAGAAACAAAAACACATATCCACGAAATAACTTGTACACAAATGTCTGTAATAACGGCATTATTCTTAGTAGCTAAAAAGTGAAAATAATTCAAATGTTCAGTTTATGAATATATAAACAAAATGTAGTATATCTATACAACGGGATATTATTCCACCACAAAAAAGAATAAAGTACTGATTCCTGCTACAACATGTATGAACCTTGAAAACATTATACTAGTGAATGAAGTCAGGAACAAAAGATCATATATCATTCCATTTATATTAAATGTCCAGAACTGGCAAATATATAGAGACAGAAAGTGAGTGAATGGTTGCCTAGGAATAGAAAAGATGGGAGGCATGAGGATGAAGGCTGAAAGGTATAGTTTTTTTTTCGGAGTGATGAAATATTGGACAACTCTATGTATTTTTACACCTTAAATAGATTAATTGTACAGTATATGAAATATATCTCAATAAAACTGTTTTTAAAAAAAGTACAAATGCTCAGGTCTCCAGAGATTTTTAAAAATTGTTCTGCAGTGGGACTTAGACATCAGCACCCAATTGATTCTACTAAGGGAACCCAGATTGAGAACCACTGATTCTAACCGCGGCTAACGGGAAGGAAAATGACTAATTTTGAGGGAAGCCATGCTGTCCCTGAGTGATGGATCATCCCACCCTTCCTAGAGGGGCACTCATGCGCTACTCGTTTGATATTCCTTCCCAGAATTATGCCTTTGATGGAGCCTAATCTGGAATTTGCAAGTACCACCTTCTCCCTCCTTGTGCAACTTGTATTTTTTAACCATTCCTGGTTTTCAGACCCTCTCACTATAACCCACAGTTCCTCATGGATCTTCAGCAGGAGCGGGCATTTTCATTTGCGAGGTTTCTTCTATATCCCGAGGTGCCATTTGACAGAACCACGAACCTCTGATCTCATGGGAAGCTGTTTTGTTACCACCTCTTCATTCACCAAAGGAGAATCCATTTGCTAACCCTTACTATAGACTAAAGTCCTTTTCCTAGGTTCCAGAGCTTCAGCTTCAGCTTATTTATGTTGATGCTACTTTTTTGGAGTCCTGTTCCATCACTTGGACCTCTAGGCCTAGAGCAGTAGAGTCCACTCCTTGGCCTCCTCCATCTTGGCAGATGCTCTAACAAAGCTGCCGTTCAGGGTCCATCAAGAGCCTGAGAGCTCCCTTTCCTACAATCTTGGATGGGTGGGGGGTGGTTCTCTTTCGCATTGAGGGAGCTGGAAATTCCCATGATAAGTTTCCTGACTTGGCATTTTTCTACTTCAAGGACTGAGAACAGACCTGAATGCCTTCTACCTCTTGCCTTGCCCCAGGGAATGTTCGAGAAAACTCCTCGGAATTACTATTCCCTGAAACAGTTAGCTCTGTCTACTGCTAGCAATTGAGAGCACTGGCCTTGTTATCAAACAGAGGTGAGTTGGAATCCTGATTCTCCTACTTGGAGGTGGCTTTGGGCAAATCATATTTTCAAAATCTCATGTCCCATCTGTGAAGTAAGGATAATAAAGCCCACCTTGTAAGGACTGTTACAGGGATTAAATGGCAACAGCAGGTGTAATGTGCTTGGCCTAGAGTGAGTATAAAATAAATTGCTGGTGATTGTTTCTCCCAGGCCATTGTAAGATTGGGAGATCTAGCCCCTCCCTCAAGATTTCCCTGCTACTATAGGGGATATTGCCTCCCTTTCGATTATATTCAAAATACCTTGTCCCATAAACAAAGGCTCTATCTAAAACTGAACTCCTGTCGACACCCTGCAAACCAACAGTATTCTAGAGGGAAGGGAGAGGAAATGGTCCCTTCCCTCAGGGTTCCTCATCAGCTCCAACAATGTCCTAGTCTTAGGGTGCACTTGCAAATGTCCTCAGAGTATTCGCTGAGGCCACCCCTCACATCCCCACACCCTCCTGGGAGCCACTCCTGGGGGCAGGACCACCTCGAGTGTTCACGAAGTCCCTGAGCTAAAATGTCTCAATTCCACCACATATCGTCTTGCATTAAAACCCAGGAGTGTCTGTCTCAGAATTGGCCACTTTTTTCCTCCAACTATTTACAGGAAATTTGTAACTCGTAATCACTTGGAATAGAATTGACAGCAATACAGCACCAGGTATCCAGCAGGAAGCTTGGGAATATATCATTAACCAGCAGTTAAAGCTCCACCTAATGACGTCCTCTGGCCCACTTAGACATACCTCTTCCGTGTTGTCTTATTCGTCAGAAAAGTTTTCCTTTTCCCTTCTTCTGCATTCCTATAATAGCTATCTTTGCTGAAGGCTTATTAGTTATCCCCAGGTCATACAGTCAATAATTAGCAAATCTAGACTCCAAACATATGGAGTTAAACAGTGACTTCCCAAAATTCATGTCAACTGAATTTCAGAATGTGACCTTATTTGAAAATTGCCTTGCAGTCAAGATAAAGTCATCCTGGATTAGAGCAGGCCCTAAATCCAATGATTAGTGTCCTTACGAGAAGAAATTTGGAAGCAGAGACATAGAAGGAAAACAGGAAAGGTCATGTAAACATGGAGGCAGAGATTAGAGTTAGGCTGCCACAGCAAAAGAATACCAAGTATTGCTGGCAAACACCAGAGGCTAGCAAGAGAAGTTTCTTCTCTAGAGTCTTCGGAGGGAGTGTAGCCCTGCCAATATTGGACTTCCAGCCTCCAGAACTGTGCGAGGATAAATTTCTATTGTTTTAAGCTTACCCAGTTTGTGGTCATTTGTAATGGCAGCCCTAGAAAACTATTATATCAGCCTAGGTCTGTCAAGTGCCAAATATCCTCATTCTTAACCGCCCAAGTTAACACAGAGTGTTCACCACTGCTCCCACTCTAGTCACACCACCCTCACCTTTGCCTGGTTCACTGTGGTAGCCTCCAGGTGGTCTCTCTGTTCCCGCCCTTACACCTACAATCTACTCTTTACTCAGCAGCCAGAGTGATTTTTTTGAAAGGAAATGAAATCACTTTCCTACTTCCCCACAGCTCACCACCCTCACAGCTACCAACCCAGTTCTGAACCACCAAGTCTTGGGGCCCGACTTGTGGAAATAGATCCCTAACTGATCTTCCCTATTCCATCCTCCTTCCTTCAAGGCAATAGTGAAAATGCTCCTTTTCAAATCATAAATCAGATCCTGCCACTCCTCGGCTCAGAATCCTCCAGTGGCTTCCCATCTGACTCAGAGTGAACTCATATGACTCAGAACAATGTCAGAGTAAACTTTTATGTTGGCACACAAGGACCTCATACCCTTCCCAGTCACAATGAACCTTTTTCATTCTGTTCTCTCTACTCCTATGTTCTTTCTCCGTATGCCCACATGGCTCATTCCCTCACATTCAAGTGGTAACTCAGAACTCTCCTTTTCAGAGAGGTCTTTATTAACCACCATGTTTTATTTTATTTTTTAAAATTTTTTTGGTTATAAGTAACATTTATAATCTTAAACCTATTTTTTTATTCAATATTTTTCAACATACATAATTTATAATTCATAACCACTGTATTTTAAATTTCACCCCTCCATAAAGCTTCATCCTACTTCCCTGTTTTATAGTTTCTCTTCATGTTTATCTTCTAACATAAATTATTTACATAACATTTTTCAAATGTCTATTTGCCCTGCCCCAAACACACATACGCTAGAATTTAAACTCCAGGAGGAAAGGAAAATATATCTATTTTGTACACAGCTGTTTTCTCAAGTACCTATAACAATGTCTGGCACTTAGTTGACATTTAATTAATACATGTATCTGTGAAATGAAAGAACAAATAGTTAAGTAAATTGGGTAATACCAAGATGATGGAAGATTAAGCAATCAGAAAAAATATAGTATATGAATGAAAAAGATATATGACCTTATGTTAATGTTGAAAGCAGAATCCCTGTGTTGTGATCAAAACTAGTTTGGTGTGTCTGGCAACCTTTTTCCTTTCTGGTTCTTTTGTTTTCTCGTTCCTTAAATGTTGGGATTCCCAAGTTTGTCTTTAGTTGTTTTGTTTTGTTTTTAATTTTTATCTACCCTTGTGGCTTCAAATACCCTCTAGTTCATTTCTCGTTTATGTAGCATATTGTCCAAACAATGATTGGGCCCAGGGCTGTTTTTAGACTCGCCCATGTTATTCATGTTACTTTGTTTACACCTCTATTAGAATAACGTTCTGGGAATAGCTGTCTATTCCTCAGTATCCCCCAGTAAAATGCAGGATAAGATGCCTAGTACATATTAGTAATAAATGTTTGAGTAATACAATAAATAATAAATTAGATGTATACTGTGTGCCAAGTACCTCTAAGAAACTTAACATTTATTATATTTAATTTTCACTGAAATCCTGTTGAGGAAGATATAGCTTCATTACACAGAGGAAAAAGGAAATATGTTTATAATAATCAGTAACCAACAAGTATGCAGACGTTAAATTTGGTGTTAAAGTGGTAGGATTGTAGGTGGTTTTTCTTTAAAAAATGTCTTTAGTATTGTGGTTAGGCTGCGTGTGTATGTGTCTGTGTGTGTACATTTGCGCGCGTGTCAGCGTGTGATCAAGTAATTTAAAAACTTGAGTTGGCAAACACAACAGCAGGAAATTATAGGGAAGGGTCTGGGAAAAAGGGAGGAACCCAAAGGCACAGTCAGCCGAGACCAGACTCCACCAGTGAGCAGTCAGCGAGGGCGGGGAGTGCCGCGTCCGGGGCAGATACCGGTTCCACCCAAGGAAACGATTCCTTTCCGGGAGGCCGACCCGCGGCCGCATGCAAAAGACCTGAGGCAGTGGGCGGAGCCACTCCTGAAAGGCTTAGCAGAAGGGGCGGAGACACGATGGCCGGAGGGCTGGCACTGATTGGCTGCCGTAGAGAAGGGGCGGGCTTTCCCTGTAGCCCTGCCTCACCGAGGGAAGGCACCTGCGCCGGAGCCTGCAGGATAGGGAAGGAACCGGGGTTCCGAGGGCCGCGTCGGGACACGTAGGTCTGCACCGTCGTCTCCCTAGAGGCCCGGCCGGAGGCGCTACAGTTTGACGCCCGCGCCCCTCTTGTTTTCGAAGGGATAGCGCTCTTCCGACCTGCTCCGCCTCAGCTTCTCGCCCCTCCTCCCGAGGCCGTAGCCCCCAGTTTAGGTGGGGCGGTGCAGCCTGAGCTCCCGGACCCGGAAGAAGCACCGTCCCCCGCCTACGCCATGGAGCCCACCGCGCTGTCCCTCACTGAGGAGGACCTGACTGAAGTAAAGAAGGACGTGAGTAGCACTATCTTGCCCAGGCGTCCCGCAGGCTGTGAGCGGGCGGGTGGGGGTGGACTGCAGCTCCGCGGGTGAGGAACGCGGAAACTGGAAGTCCAAGTCGGAATCGGAGGAGGAGCCTGCGGCTGAGAGGAGCGGAGAGGGCTGCGTCCGAGGAGCCTTGGTGGAACTGATCCCCCGGCGACACGTTAATTCGCGTTTTAAATCGCTAAATGCAGGGCTTGGGTGTCTGAAACCTTGGATGGAGCGTTTCTTGGCAGCCCGCTTCTTGCCCACTCCTCACGTGTCCCCTGGTGATTAATCCCCCGCCCCCGCCCTGTGGGGCCGCGTTTTCAGGGACGGACGGCTCGCGGTCGCGGGAGAGTCTGACGCCCAGGCTGCTGTTTTAACGGTAGCAAAGGCTGGGCCAGGTAAGGGATTCTAAGCAGCGACGCAGATATGTGAAACACTTTTACAAAGCTGTCTGGGGGAAGCTGAGCAGCTGAAAGCACAACCTGGAATTCCCCAAATAAGCTAACGCCCACATATTTAAATTGAGAGGAGGGGGATGAATACCTGTAGCCGACAACAGGCTACAAGCAAAGGTTGAAAATATTCAGTAATTTTGCTCTTCTGCTTGGATGCTGCAGAAAATCGTAACACTTATTCATAAACAATGGCTTTGTTGAGACACGATTTGTTTCTTTTTCCTCTGTCTTCAGTTGTTTTGCTGTTTGAGACCTGTATGGGTGCTTGCCACTGAAATAGTATCAGTTCAAATTAAAAACAGAAATTCAACACGAAGCGTGCTCTGGCTTAACAGCACATAACTCACAAAATCACCTTTGTGAACTGGATGGGGCAGCAGTTTTTTAAATGTTCGTCTATTTCAAATTTCCTCTTTTTCTCTCCCCTGTAAGATTTTTTACGTTATACTCATGATTACAGTTGGATTCATTTAGCAGAAGGAAACTGGACATATTTGGGACGTGTGACTTAGTTTCCTCATTCAGCAGATATTTATGGAACACTTACTCTATGGAAAATACTGTCATCTGGCCTGGATTGGACAGAGACAAAAAACAACAGTCAGGCCCCTGCTTTATAGTCTAATTGAGAAAAGACTGGAACATTGGTAGTTAATATATATTAAATGAATGCTGTCTTATTCAAGATGTGTGCCAGTAAAACCATGAACTTCAAGAGCTAGGCTGGCCATGTGCCAGCTGCTCTGTCACACAATTTACAATATTCCCCCTTAATGTTCACAACAACCTCTAAGGTCATTGTCATTCCCATTTTACAGCCGATAAAACAGGCAATTCGAGGTTACAAGCGGGAGGATATAAAACCTGTACACAAACACAAATGTGAAGAGTGGCTTCCAGGCCTTATTTTTTTCCTACGAGTTCATTGATGCTCTCCATCTCCATGATTTCATTTTATAGCCATATCGGAAATTCATAATTTGGGGAATCGTGAATGGGTTTCAGGAAGGCTGTGAAAAAAGTATGTGCACATGTTTTTCCTAGAAATTTTTGTCATGATATTTTCAAAATGGTTTATGACCTTAGAAGGTATTTAAATTATCACCCACATATTACAACTTCCTTCTCTCCCAATTATAGGCTCTTATTTCCAAATATTTGCTGGAAATCCACTTTTATGTCCTGCACATTCCTCCCCTTGTCCAAAACTGAACTTTATCATCCCTCCCCCCAAAGCTGCTTGCTATTCTTGCTGTGTTCTCTGCCTCGGTGAATAGGGTAACACCACCCATCCTCTTTCACTATATTCCTCCTTCCCTTCTGCCCCACCTGGCTATTCGTTTTATCTTTTTTGGTTGAATTTAGTTCACTTTTATTAGTACAGATTACATGCTGCTATGAGGCTGATACTATAGTTGAATTTCACAGTTCAAAAATTTTAAACTAGGACACAATCCTAGTTTGGAAAGAGCTTGATTTCTTAGGAGGTGGGAGATAGACATAAAGTGAAAATTACAAGTTGTAAAACACATTTCATCCAAAACATTATCTACTTAGTATTCTGCGAAGTTCATGACGTACACGTTTGAACAAAACATACCAGATTCTTGCCTACTTCAGACATGTAGATCATTGGGTTTGAAAACAAATAAATATATAATTACTACTTATTGTAAGTACTATAAAGAAGACAAATAGATGTTGAGACAATAACAGGGGCCATCTGCATGAGATAGGATGGTCACAGAAGGTTACATTTAAAGTGGTTCTACCCTGGCCAGGTGGCTTAGTTAGTTGGAGCGTCGTTCCATACACCAAAAGGTTGCATGTTCAATCCAGTCAGGGCACACACCTAGGCAGTGTTTTGATCCACAGTCAGGGTGCATGCAGGAGGCAACCAATTGATTTCTCTCTCTCTCTCTCTCCCCCCCATTCCCCTTCCCTCTCCCCTCCCCCCCATCTCTTCTTCTGAAAATAAATGTATCCTTGGGTGAGGATTTAAAAGAAGGTAAAAAAACAATAATAATAAAGTGGTTCCTGAAGGATGTTACAGGCCTTGGGGGAGATCATTCTAGGCAGGGTAAAATTTGTAAAGGACCTAAACCAGGCAAGACTTTGGTGACTTGGGAGAATTGGAAGAAGGCAGAAGGTCCCCTGAGGTGACGTTAGGAAAGTGGGCAAGAGCCAGATTATGAAGGGTCTTACTGATTGTAGTTAAGTGTTTGGATTTTTTTCCCCAAGTGTTGTAGGGACCTATTGAAGAACTAATGATATATTTTTAAAAGATCACTCTGCCTATTGTATGGACTGAGGGGAGCAAAAGTGAAAAGAGGGAAACAAGTGAAGAGACTCTTAGAATTTATGTAGTTGAGAGATAATGTGATTTGGATCAGGGTGAAGGCAGTAGAAATAGCTGGAACAGGAGAATTCCAGATGCATTTGTGAAATACAAATGATAGGCCTTGGTGATAGATTGAATGTAGGAGTTGAAGAAGAGTGGAATGAGATTAGTAAGTGGAAATGTCAAATCAACAACTTGACCAGCAAGTCTGAAGATCAAAAGGGGGCTCTCACAGCTGTTGGGGGGAGGGGGTGGAAAGGACTCATGGACATAGACAGCAGTGTGGTGATTGCAGTGGGGAGGACAAATGGTAATGGAAAAAATGCAATAAGAAGTAAATTGCTTAAAAAAAAAGAAGAGCTCTAGCTGGTGTAGCTCAGTGGACTGAGTGCCGGCCAGCGAACCCAAAGGTCATTGGTTCGATTCCCAGTCAGGGCAAATGTCTAGGTTGTTGGCCAGGTCCCCATTTGGGGGGTGTGCAAAAGGCAACTGATCGATGTATCTTTCATACATTGGCATTTCTTTTTCTCTTTCTCCCTCCCTTCCCTTCTCTCTAAAAATAAATAAAATCTTTTATAAAAGAAGATGAAGAGAGACCTGAGCTGAAAATATAAGTATGAAATTGAATGAGTTCCCTTAGGAAGTTGGGAGCTAGAAGGGAAGAGGGAGATGATAGAGAGGTTTTGAAAAGTGAGAGGTTGTAGCCACAGAAATGGGAAGCAAGCCTGGAGATGCATGTAAAATAAGAAAAGAGTATTTCAAGGAAATAGTGGTCAACTGTGTACATGCTACTGAGAAGTCAGATGAATGAAAATTATCAGTATGAAGGTGGTCATTGGAAGAGTGGTGGAACATAATGGAAATATCTGGGAATGAATTGGGAGATGAAAAGTGGAGTTCTGCTATATTGAAAAGTGGAATGTATACACGAGGTACTGCATGGATAGAGGGGAGGGTGCCTAACTTATTCTGGGGAGTTTAGGAAAAGCTTCCTGAAAGAGATAACCACTGGCCTGACTCTTGAAGGATAAAAAGCTACTTGGAGTATAGAAGAGAAAGTAAGACAAAGGTAACAACGTAAAGAAATGTGGAGTGACAAACAGCAGTCTGAGGTACAAGGTAAAATACCAGGACCGATAGAGGTGGTGATAGATTAAACTAGAGAGATAGGTAAGATCTGCATTATGAAGTGTCCTTTCTACTATTATCAAATATTATTTGTTGAATACTTACTGTGTATCAGACTGTGTCAAGCCTTTATATGCAGTGTCCCATTTAGTTCTCCTAAAAGTCCTCCGAAGTTATTATTATTATTATTTTATCAATAAAGAACAAGAAGTTTAGAGAGTTAAGTAACTTGCCCCAACTCTCACAGAAGTATATGGCAGATTCAAGATTTGAACTGAGGTTGGTCTGAGACCAGAGCCATGCTCTTGACTTCCTTCTCTTCTACTGTGGTTGAGGAAATTATCCTTTTAAATCAAGGGTAGGACACAGTGTTCTAAATTTTTTAACAATTAACTGATGGCATTTCAATATTAAACTTTTTATAACACTCTAGATGTCCATTTTCCCGTGAAAAATTGGAAGATCTACTAGATGTGTAAAAGAGAAATTTGGGGGAGAAGAGAGACGTAGGAAGTATAGCTAGGTGTCCATTGTTAAGTCCGTGCAACATATCATAAGGACCTGAACTACAGTAATGCTGATAATAGAGATGAAGTGAAGAGGCAGATTAGGTAAATACAAGGAGTAGAGTGGCAGGTCTTGGTGGGTGGGTGATCAGATGTGGAAAGTAAGTAAACAAGAAGTCAAAAATCAGTTATAGATTTATAGCATTATTGGATGCTATGATTATTGAATGGCAGTACTCCCAAATGAGTTGAGAACATCAAAGGAAAAGAATAGGGGAATATAACTTTGGTTTTGGACATACTGATTTTGAAGTACCTTTGGGATGTCTAGGTAGAGAAAGTCTTGAGCACACACACAAATTTGGGAATCCTCAGCATATAGGTGGTAGAAATGACAACAGATGTGGTTTTTTAAGAAGTTCATCTTTTAGTCTATCCTTATCTACAAGAAAATGTGTGTTCCTCACCATGTTATAAAAATTCTCCCATAATTCCACCCCAGTTTTCTTTCCTAGCTACATTCCTCACCACCCTGTCACATGCAGCCTGTGTTCCACCTACCCCAGAATACGCAATATTTCCCCACCGTGTACCTTCATACCTCTAGCAAAAGTGTAGCTTCTATAAATTTCCCAGCCTCTAGAGGTAGAGTTAATTGCTTACTCTGTGCTTCCCCAGTATTTGACCAATAGTCTTTTTTCCCCCCCAGGTCATATCACATTGTCTTAAAATTATTGGCTTGCATGTGATACAGATTCTCCAACTACACCATGTGCCCTTTGCATGCAGGATTCAGGTCTTACTGACCATTGCTCAGCACTTGGTATATTAGGTATTTAGATATATGAAATGTTTGTTATGTGAATAAATAAATAAGTGTGGGGTTCAGTTAACTGTGAACTATAGGAACCCTCACCTAGCCTTTTCTGCCACCATATACTAGAGTATTGCTAAGATTTTCCATTGCCTTTTGCTCATAATGATGAATGTGAATCAAATTAGTTATTGTTGCCACTATCACTAACATTTATTGATCATTTACTGTGTACCAGGCACTTTTCTAAGAACTTTATATGAATATATTCCTCATAACACTTAAATGAGGAAACTGAGACATGGCGGAGTTAAGTTACTTACCCATGATGATCACATATATAGAAAATGGAGGAGCTAGAATACAGTCATTGACATCAAACTATTGCCGCCATTTATTGGAACCCATTTCATTTTTTTGTTATATAAGCCCCTGTAGCTACCTCTCAGATCTAGGCCTGTTTCCTGTGATTTTTTTTTCTTTGTTTCTTTACTCTTTTAACATTTCACCATTCCTTTAGGTTTCTTTCCACCCACATATTTCTAACTTCCTTCTACCAACCTACTCACTGAGTTACAGTCTTTCCAACTGACTCCAAAGTTAGACACATTATGGGCCCTTTTAGTTTAGTGGGGGGTTTTCTTTAAATGGTTTTACTCTAGGAAGATGGAAAATTAACAAATATGAGAATTGTAAGCTATGAACCTCTCACTAAGTTACTGTCTCTGGTCTGACTAATCCTGGATGCCTTGATAAATAGTAACTAAAATGAATGGAAGTCTTTGCTCTCATCTTCACCCCCAAAGGTGGCCCTCAGCAGACCTCTCTATTTCCACAAACCTGGGCCCTCTAGATTAGAATGGCCCCTCTTCACAATAGCCTGGCCTTGATTTATAGGTATGAAAATGAGATCAGAGCAAGACAGAAGCTGTGAGGAATGTCCAATCTAGGACATTTTTTTTTGTTGTTGTTGTTTTTAAATCCTCACCTGAGGGTTTTTTCTTTGTTAACTACTCGCCTGAATAGTGCTTATTGACCTTAGAAAGCAGTGAAGGAATGGAGAGAGGGAGACAAACATCATGGGACAGAGAAGCATTGATCAGTTGCCTCTGCTGTGCACCCCTACTGGGGGTCAGAACCACTGCCTAGGCATGTGCCCTGACCAGGAATCAAACCTATGACCTTTGGGTTTACAGGACAACACTCCAACCTACTGGGCCATGCAGGCCAGGGCTAATCTAGGATCAACCTTTGTCTACTTGGACCTTTATCTTACAGCATGCATTTTTAGTAACCTGAGCCTCCTGGCTTCAGGATGTTTTTTCCTACCAGTTAAGATTCCTAACCAGTCACATACATGATTTCCTGAGGTGTTAAAAAAGTAACATTGAAGCACATTTTATGTTTTTCAGGCTTTAGAAAATTTGCGCGTATATCTGTGTGAAAAAATCATAGCTGAGAGACATTTTGATCATCTACGTGCAAAAAAAATACTGAGTAGAGAAGACACTGAAGAAATTTCTTGCCGAACATCAAGTAGAAAAAGGGCTGGAAAATTGTTAGACTACTTACAAGAAAACCCCAAAGGACTAGATACCCTTGTTGAATCTATTCGGCGAGAAAAAACACAGAACTTCCTGATACAGAAGATTACAGATGAAGTGCTGAAACTTCGAAATATAAAACTAGAACATCTGAAAGGTAAGTATCTTAGGTATACAAGAGTGCATTTACATGTAATAATGCTTTTAAAAAGTAAAATTAAAAACAACAACAACAAAACCCAGAAATGATCCTTTTGCTTTTATTCAAAAGTTTAAGCTTCAGAATTACATTTGTTTGCATTTTTAACCTTATAGGTTGTCATTACATTGGAAAAGTGGAATATCACTTAATGTTCTGTATTTATATTCATTTAACAATATCATTTCTAGAAAAGTCCTAGTCTGCTCAGTGGTTTGTTTCTAACATCAGCAGAATGTCAGATTAATCTATTCAAAAGTAACCCCTGAAAATGCACACAGCACATAAAGAATAGTATATAGGCAAAGTATTTTGGTAAGTCCAACTCTAACAGTTTTTCTCCTACCATTTGATCCGAGATAAAGTATTTGGCTATGTTGATAACAATCATGTTATATAAAGTATACATAACTTTAAACACTAGAATCATATTCAGTCTGGCAAAATGAGAGGGGCATGAGAAACAAGACTGACGAAGGGAATAGCAAATTTACCTCTCCTGTTTTAGCTTCACCCTGGAGCGCACACACACTCACGGATTGGGATGCTGTGTAGAATTACCTGTAGTTTCAATGCCCCTCCCCTCTCTGTCTTTCTCTCCAGAGCACTTAAGTTTAATGTGAATGTGACAAAGCTCTACTCCGGCTGTTCTAGGCCCTGGGGATACAGAAATGAGTAATTTAGGGCTCTGCCTTTAAGGACAATACAGTCTCTTTATTCCATGCTAGAACACATTGGAAGTTTCCCCTTCTGAGCCATGTTTAAGAAAATAGTTTCTGTAGCATGGAACAGAAATGCTGAATGTCTTGTGAAGTTGAAAAACTAGTGGGAAAAAATGACATAAGTGTGCTTCATAGACTTGCAGGTTTTACATAAAATTTCTCAATTCAGAAGGTTGTGTGCCTGTAGATAGTTATGGCTTGAATATTTGCTAAGCCTAACAGAAGGATAAATTGTGTTTATTCTTTCTACACTGAGGTTAATTGTTAGCTATACTCTTTGGATATGGTAAAATTCTTATATCAGAACAACCACCGTCATTTAAGTATATTGTTTGGTTGAGAACCAGGACATGATTTAAGGTGAGGAGGAGAACTGAGATCGAGTTCTCCCTTTCCCAGAAGTAGTCCTGGAATGCTGGGCATAACCTGACCGTTCTGCCTCTGTTTTCTCATCTCTAATAGTGAGAGACTATCCCAGATGACCTCTAAAATTCCTTCCACTTCTAATGTCCTATAATTCAAGATTCAGTAATTGGCATTAATGAACTCACGGATTTTAACATATGCTCTATTTAAATTTTGGTTTCATTGGGTAATGTTTTCTTTGTGTGTGCCAGTATGCTAAAGAATATTTGTTGTGAAAGCTGTTTCTTATTTTATGACAGATTTTAGGGGCTACTTTATTTTTCCCACGGTCTTTAATGGTTAAGTATATAAGTATGCAAATTAAGTTTATAGCTTCTCATTTAGCTTCTTTGAGACTATTATCTAGAAAATGTAACTAATAGTATATTTATAACAACTTCATAGTTGTTGGGAAAAGCAAATGAAATGTGAAATGGGTTATGTCAGAATGTATAAATTGCTATTTAAATTTTGTTTGTGTGGTAAATAGCTTATAATCTTTAAAAAGGTACAAGATGGGCATGGGCTCAGTCTTTTTTTTTGTTACTTTTTTATTGACATCTGAATAATTTCATTGTAGGACTAAAATGTAGCAACTGTGAGCCTTTTCCAGATGGAGCTACAAACAGCTTCACTCGATCGAATTCAAATGAGACTAATTTCTCTGAAAAAAGGAGAACATCCACTATCATGTACCATCCAGAAGGAGAATCCAGCACAGCCCCCTTTTTTTCGACTGATTCATCTCTGAATTTGCCTGTTCTAGAAGTAGGCAAAACTGAAAATCCTACATTTTCTTCAACTACACTTCCCCGACCTGGGGATCCTGGGGCTCCTCCTTTGCCCCCAGAGCTGCAGTTAGAAGAAGGAACTTGTGGAAACTCTAGTGAGATGTTTCTTCCCCTAAGATCACGTGCTCTTTCACGGCAATGACAATTCATAGCCTTTTAATTTTTTAAATAATGACTAATATTTAAAAGGATATGAATCTTTTTATAAAACATCAGTAATGACTTATTAATACCCAATACATGTCTTTTGAAATGCAATGTAAGCACACTTTGTAAATAGACTTTTGGGGGGAGGGAAGAACATATTTTTAGATAGCTAAAGTAAATCATGTGGATCATGTACTTCTCAGAATTTTGTATTTTTTTAATAGTTTATTTTGTATTATATTTTTTTCCATTACCATTTATCCCCCTTATACCTTCTTTCAGGTATTTAGTGTTTTCACATTTTTTAGGTTTTGAGACCAGTTTTAATAGGGAACATTTGTCTATTTGATAATAGAGTCTTAAGCTGGGAATGATGTTTCTCAGTGCATTTGTGCTAGAAATTTTCAGTCTAATTTTTCCATCTAGGTAGCAGTAAATGTTCAGGATTAAGCGGTTTCTAATTAATAATAAAGCCAATCACTGATGGGAAAAACTGCTAGTGTACCGGAAAAAAAAAACCTTTCCTACTCAGTTTGGCTTACAGACACTTAACAGAGTCCCCTTCTGATGTGGAGGGAACATCTGACTAGTTTGAGCCACCTAAGATCTCAATTTGCCAAAATACATTTATTAACCTTACTAATTCATGCTACTTTCTTAAGATTTTCACATTCTTTAGCATTTTCATTCCTAAAGAAAAATCTTTACAAAAACCTGTTACTACATATAATTTGGTGAAATTTCTAAAATTTCTGTACTTTTCATTCTCTTTCAGTGAGCACCACTGTATGAATTGAAATAACTAGAACAAAATGTTTTTTTCCCTATGTGTGACAATCTGTTTTTAATACTATTTGGAACAAGCAGGCCATAAATTTGATTTGCCTTTTTGTTGTATCACAAAGGTTTACTAAATTTATGCATTTATAAATTATGTCCTCATTGTGTTCACTTAAAGTATAATTCTATTTCTTGGTAGTTCTATAATATATTTCCATTACTTGAAAAAGACAGAGATGGAAACATGCTATTAACAATAAAAGTTTTTGAATTGTGTTATGTTTTGGAAGTTTCAGACTTTTTAATAGAAAGTAAATATCTAAAACACTTACTTTAAATGTGCTAATTTTTATAGAAAACATTTCAAGTTGTGAGACCAAGTTGCATTTCTGGATAAACTGATGAATTTATCAGTCCTGAAGAAGACTGACATTGGTTTTAAAAATTTTTTAAAGTCTGGGTAATTTTTGTAGTAGAAACATTTTCTAAGGATTATGGAGAGACATGTTTCACATCCAGGGTAGCATGAGAAAATAGTGGCATTACATTTAAAGAGCTTAGCATTTGTCATTAGAGAGGGGTAGGGAGAGAAAAAGCGAGAGAGAAACATCAGTTTGTTGCCTCTCGCATGCACCCCAGCCGGACCCAGACTGGGAATAAAACTGGTGACCTTTCAGTGTGCGGGAAGATGCTCAATCAACTGAGAGTGCATGGTATTACATTTAAATATTTTTTAAAAGCAGAAGCAGCCTTTTCATTTTATTAAAATAAAATTTGATATGCAATTATTTTAAATTTAAATAGGATCTTCTTAGAATCAAAGACCATAATGTAGATGAGCTGCAGAACCTATATAGTGTATAACACTGTATTTTCTTTCAGACTGTTGAACAACTATATAGAAAATAAAATTAAAGTTTTAACAAATTTAAGCTTTTGGGTTTTCTGAATTCTATAAAGTCTTTTCCTTTAAATACTGGAAACCAGCCATCGCCAATAAATGTTTAACTTTGAATGATTGACGTGATATAGTGCAACTGGTTATTAGGTTGATTAATGCAGCAGTGAAAAAGTTACTTTTCACAAATACCATATTATCACTTAATGCAAAACATCTTTGAGGTCACTTTTTTGTTGTTTTTTTGAAAAATTAATAGATCTTATTTTTTAAAGCAATTTTAGGTTTATAGAAAACTTAACCAGAAAGCACAAAGTTCCCATATATTTCCTCTCCTCTTGTTTTCCACATTAACATCTCTAGTGTGATACCTATGTTAGAATTGATGAACCATTCTTGATACATTATTAACTAAAGTTCATGGTTTATGTTAGGATTCACTCAATGTTGTACAGTTCTGTAAGTTTTGACAAATGTATAATGTTATGGATTCTAAAATACCATGTAGAACAGTTGCTCTGCTATAAAAATCCCGCATTCCACTTACTCATTCCTTCCTCTCTCCTCCCCCTTCCTATTTAGCAACCACTGATTATTTTTAATCGTCTGTGTAGTTTTATTGTTTCCAGAATGTCATGTAGTTGGAATCATACAGTATATTCTCTTTTCAGGTTGTCTTTTTTTAAATGACAATATTCATTTAAGGTTCCTCCATGTCTTTTCATGGTGAGCTCACTCTCGAGAGGTAATTCCATCACTGTCAGCATGTTGCTCTTGATACAAAGTCAACACACTGGCAAACCAGCAGAAAGCCAGGATAATGGAAATTTGGTTTTTAAATTTTTGGGGGGGTTTGAAGTTTTTTGGTTTTATTTAGGAGTTTTTTGGTTTAAGTCCAGGGGTTCTTTTATGGGTAGTGATTTTTATCTCCTGTTTAAGAAATCTTTGTCCTAATGTCTTGATGATACTGTTTTCTTTTGGGAACTTAGTTGTTTTGCTGTCAGGATTAGCTCTATGATCCATTACAAAGTAATTTTTGTGTGTGGTGTAATGTAGAAGTCAAGTCTTACAGCTGCTCTTTACCTAAGCAACTTAAAAGGGAGCAGGAAGTTTTAGGCTATGGCCTTATCTTATGTCATTGGATAAATATGTACACAGTTGACTCTGAAAAAAACACCAAGAAGCAAATCAATCCGTAGTTGTTCAACATAATCTGAGGAGGGCTTTCTGAAAGGAGCTGAATTTAAGCACAAAAAAATACATAGATACCTTGAGTGCTCCTCCTAAAGTCTTTATTCTGAATTTGCCTTCCTATTTATTTGACAGTTGTTCTTTATTGCAGTGGTTCTAAACTTTGCTGCCCACTTTAGAATCACCTGGAGGGCTTTTAAAGATCCTGATGTCCAGGCTGTACCCCATACAATTAAGTCAGAATGTTTGAGTGTAGAAACCAGACATCAGAAGTTTGTCAAGATTTCTAGGTGATTCCAATGTGCAACAATATTTGGAAACCACAGCCATATTGGGTGGGTGCCAAATAACTGCTTAGTGTTTCCACATGTGTGATCTTGTTTATACTTTCAATAGCCTGCAAGGCAGGTTTTGTTTTCAGCTTTTTTAACAGGTGAGAAACAATAAATGGCTGAAAATCCAGTAGCTCTTTAGCATTAAAATTCATCGCTATTTAAGATCGATGTTCTTTTCACAACTCCATGCTTTCTTGGTAGCATTTCTTAAATGGCAGAAAGGTGAGTAGAGGTTTTATATATATAATTTAATAGTTATTTATGGAGTATTATTCTAGGTGTTGGAGATAAAATGGTAAAACAAAGCCCGTGTTCCTGTGGAATTCACATATAGATAAACAAGGAAAGCCAGATCATTCTAGTTGCACAAAATAGTGCATGTATAATCTAAGAAGTAACTTGGAAAGAGTGTTGATGGCATTGTGAAGGAAGTCCAATCAAAACAGGTAACGTTTGAGCTGAGACCTAAATAAGAAAGGAGCCAGTTACATGACTTTCTGGGGGTTCAGGCAGAAGTAACACATGAGACAGGAATGAGTTACTGAGGACCACTTCGGTCTGTGTGGCTGGAACATAAGCGTGAGGGGTGACAGGAGTTTAAGAGCCTGGGTTGACATGAGGTTACACAAAAAGCAAGGATCAAAATGAAAGGTTTCTAGACCATGTAAGAAGTTTGGGTTTCCTTCTAAGGTGGGAAACAATTGGAGGGCTTTAAACAAGGGAGAGAGATGATTTGATTTGCATTTTAAAAGTTAAGTGTGGCTCTCACCTGTGTTGCTTGGTTGGGCGTTGTCCCACAAACTGAAAGGTCATGGGTTCAGTTCCTGACTAGGGCACATGCCTGGGTTGTGTGTTTGGTCTCCAGTCAGGACAGGTACGGAAAGCAACCAATCGATATTTCTCTCTCATACTGATGTTTGTCTCCCTCTCTCTCCCTTTCCCCTCTCTATTAAAAAAAAAAAAAATGCATTGTGGTAATTTATGGATAATGGATTGGAGGAGGACAGGATGGAAGGAGAGATCATCTTTATCTTTCTGTTCTTTCCCATCCTCTGACCTTTCATTCTCTTCTCGGTACTTTAACAACTAATCCACAAGGCATCATCTGGGGCAAAACAAAGTAAGTATCTGCATCAGTAGGGCTTAGGGGAAGTAGTAGGAGTGCAAATTGCCGTGCAGGATGCTGAGCAGAACCTGGATGGCATGGGGGTTGGGGTATAGAGAGCAGTGATTTTTAACCTTTTTTTATTTCATGACACACATAATTACTAAAATTCTGCGGCATATCAAAAAATATATTTTTTGCCGATCTGACAAAATAGGTATAATTTTGATTCGTTAACTAACCGAATGACTTGTGTTGGCTGTTTATATTTTTTTATTTGATGTTCTAAGGGAAAGGAGTTCAGTGCCCCTGACTAACTAGTCAGGTATGGCATGTTTTAAAAATTCTTGTGGCACACTGATTGAAAATCACTGGTACAGAGTATTGGGAGTCAAATGGAATGAGAGTATCAATATAGACGAGTAGCCTGGTGTGAGCTCTCAGAGCCTGAGTGCAGTAAGAGAGGTTGTAGACATGGCTAAACAGAGTGTCAGGGCACAGAGTAAGGTGTCCACTCAAAGGTGACAGAGCCTGAGTGGGGAAGAAGGTATCTGCGGATGTCTAATATCAGACCCTGAAGTAGAAGGTGGGAACAGGATGAGGAAGGGATATGTAGAAAGGAAATCTAAGGCACTATGTCAGATCCAAAGTATGGTAAGCAGCAGTGATGGAAGTTCGGCTGCATACTTGATCAAATAAAAACACATTTAGGCTAATTGGAGCCAGATTTCTCATTGTTGGGAAAATGGAATTACATATATGGAAAGAGAAAACTAAAAGTAATCCTGTAGTAGTGTATTAAAATTAGAGGTTTCAGTGTAAACTCAGGTTTTCAATAGATAGAGAAATAAATATATTCTCTTCACCAAGTTAGGGAAGTTTTCTGTCATGGTTTCAAATAGGTTTTCAATTTCTTGTTCTCTTCTGGCACCCCCAGGATGTGAAAGCTGGTATGTTTGAAGTTGCCCCACAGGCTCCTTATACTCTCCTCATTTTTTTGGATTCCTGTTTTTTCTTGCTGTTCTGATTGTGTTTTTTGTTTCCTTATATTCTAAATCACTGATTTGATTCTCTGCCTTATCTACTCTACTGTTGATTCCCTCTAAATTGTTCTTCATTTCAGTTACTGTATCCTTCATTTCTGACTGGTTCGTTCTTTACGTGGTGGCTCTGGGTTCCCAACAGAGCAAAAGTGGAAGCATTCTGTTCATCAAAGCAAGTGACAAAGCCAGCCCAGCTTCAAAGACAGAGGAGTGGCATACACACATAAGGTACATAATCTTTGTAGATAACCTACCACAAATATGTTAAATTTGAGAGACTTATTAGACAGTAAAGGTAGAAATTGGATTTGGGGTTTGGTGGTCAGGGAAGACTTTTGGACTGGTTATATAAATGTGGGAATTGTTAGCAAAATAAAAATTTGAAACCATGGGACCTCATAAAATCACCTTGAAATGAAGGGTTGATAGAAAAGAGAGGAGGGTCCAGGGATGAGGTGCTGTCACATTTAAAGGTAAGACAAGAAGAAGGCAACAGAAGAAACTGAGAGGACCCTGTGAAATAGGAAGAGAACTAAACTAGTGAAAGGTAGAGAAGAAAAAAATATCCCAAGAAGGAGGCTTATCTTATTCAAAGGTCAAGTAAGAAGTGGGTTTGGTCCCTGACCAGTGTGGTTCAGTTGAATTTGTATCATCCCTCCAAAGGGAAGGTCATTATTTTGATTTTCAGTCAGGGCATATGCCTGGGTTGCGGGTTTGGTCCCCGGTTGGGGCGAGTGTGAGAGGAAACCAATTGATGTCTGTCTCCTTTCTCACTTCTCCTCCCTCTAAAAATAAATTTTTTTTTTAAGTGGCTCTTGGTTACATGGAGGCTGTTGGTGACTGATAACAGGGAATTCTGTTACTCAAACTAGGTACCCCAATCCCAGAGGCACTCAAAAGTGGACCAGTTTTAAAAACCACAGGATAAATGTGGTCTACAAAGAAACAGCTGCATTAGGGACAAATATATAACATTTGCATATACTTTCAATACAGTATAGTCCAAAAAATGTTATGCTCATGGGGTTTGGGGCCACACTATATCAGCATGACCTCTGGAAAAGCTGAAGAATGAGTTCAGCCACAGGGGAATCAACTATGTGTACATGATCTAGCCCCATTAAAATCTCTGGACATCAAGGCCCAGGCAAGCCCCCGGGGTTGACAATGCTCCATACATGTTGTCACATACCTCCACTACAAGAAGTTAGTACTTGTCTGCAATTCCTTTGGGAGAAGCCAACTAGTAGCTCTGCATGTGGAAGTCTCTGATACTCTACCCCAGGTACCTCTTCCCTTGATCAATTTTAATTTGTGTTCTTTTCCTATAATAAACTATAGCCATGAGTAAAACAGCTTTCAGTGAGTTCTGTGAATCCTACCAAATTATCAAATCTCAGGTTGGTTTGAGAGACACACAAACTCACAATTGGTGTCAGAGTAAGGATGGACTTTCAACCTATGCATTTAGGGGCCATCATTTTTCTCTATCAACATATGTACCTGAATGAAAAAATCTGAGAAACATTCACCTATACCTACACCCTCATAAATTATAATACGCAATATTTATTCATCATGTACTCAGTGTCAGGCACTGAGCTGGGTGCTAGGAATATATAAATGAACAAAGCATAATCCAACTCCTCTCAAGGAGCTCAGACATTGTGCTATAGCCCTGCAAAAGAGAAGTCAATGTGACATATTCTCTGCCCCCATGGAGATGAGTGTGTTGTGTAAATGCACAGGCATCCTGAAGTGGAGTCTGTGAATGTTTGCACTGATACCAACTTTATCACTTTTCATTTAGGTATCATTCCCTCTTAGTTCATCAGGAGAAGTCAAGGATTTTTAGTTTCCATGATGAGTAGGCACATGGTGATGTCATTTACTAAGAGGAAACACAAATGCAGAAGTTACATGGAAAGACAAGTTACTCATCCTGTAAGTGGGTGTTTGAAACCCCAGCAGGATGTCTCTATGTCAAGTTTAAGAGCCATGTGGAGGTTCCGTCCAGGGTTTGGAAGAGAGATTGGGGCCGGAGACCCAGATTTGGGAGTCAAGAGTAAGGTAGTTAATGCGGTAAAAAGGGATGGGCTGACTTGTAACTTTGTACCCTGTAGAAAAATTTCAAGTGTTGCTGGAAGATGGTACACTACGTAGGGAAACACCAACGTTTAAGGGTCATACAGAGCAAAGCAGGCATGAAAGAAGAGAAACCTGATGAGAAACCAGAGAGTTTGGAGGACCCCAGCGTGGTGGGATGCAATCCGGTAGGAGTTTCGTCAGAGAGGGGGTTCAGAGTGTGCTGGAATGTCAACCAGGAGAGGACTCTGTCTGTTGCTTGATGAGTCCACGACCTATAGAGGTCTTCCAAGACAACTGAGGACAGCACACTAAGTGATTTTTTTTTTCTTCCTATTTTGAAAGTGAGATGCAGCAGGGTTGGGGAGAAATCCTGGTTTTCTCTGAGCAAGAGCTAAAGTGAGGTGGCAGTGGAAAGACAACTTTCTTAGATTTTCGGTGCCTTTCATAAACTCTTACTGAATGCTAAAGTTTGGTTGGGACCCCTCACTGAGGGCGCCTCCTCAGTGCACCTTAGACAGGAGTGAGCAAAAGGTGCCCCTGCTTGAATACGCATGGTTTCTTCAGCTTCAGTCCTTCCGCCGGGGGAGCAGTAGTGCAATAGAGCCGCCAGGGGACGCAGTCCCCTAGATTATCGGCGAGACGCGGGGTGGGGCCAGCCGCAGGGACGGACCTAAAACAGCTTCCGGCTTCCGGCGGAGCCCTCGGTCTTCGCGCATCGCCGTCATGGCAGCCGAAGAGAAGGATCCTCTGAGCTATTTCGCAGCTTACGGGAGCAGCAGCTCAGGCTCCTCCGACGAGGAGGATAACAGCGACCCGGAGGAAACCAGTCGCAGAGCTCCGGATCCGGCAAAGTCGGCGGGCGGATGTGGGAACAAGACGGAGAAGCGGCTGCCTGGACCTGACGAGTTGTTCCGGAGCGTGACTCGTCCGGCCTTTCTCTACAATCCGCTTAACAAACAGATAGACTGGGAGAGGCACGTCGTCAAGGCTCCTGAGGAGGTGAGGTCCCCGTCCCCGGTTCTCGATCTTGGTCCCGGCCTCCGCCCCCTTCCTCATGAGCCGCCTCCTGGGGACCGGAAGTCCGTGCCCCCACACGCAGTCACCCCCTGCGGGATGCCGCACCAACCCTTCCCATCTCCAGCCCTGGGGAGCCCGGGCCCCTTCCCCCAGCCTGGTGGGTGTCAGATCAGACCCGCAGCCCCAGCCCACTCGTGAGGAGACCCAAACCTCCGCGCTCGGTGCCCCGACCTGCGTGGCCAGGACTAACGGTGGTGACTCCCCCGCCCCCCCGCTGCAGCTTCTCCCCGAGACCCCTTCCCTTTGACGCCGAAGTGCCTGCGGTGCTGCCTCCAAGACAGTGTCTGCTGCAGCCTCCTGAAGGGGTCAGCCTTGGCGTAGTATCTCTGAGACTGGATTCTTCTTTGGTAACTAAAAGTTATTAGCTTTATTCATATAGGGAACCCTTTGGCTTTTCACTTAACAGTATTGTGATTTTGATGGAAAAAAAAATGTATCTTTAAACTTAAAAGACAAGTCATCCTGAACAATAATCGAACGGCAGGGAGGTGCATGTGCCCATACCGATGATAGGAGCCTCGGTTCCTCACAGTGCTTCTTAATGTGTTTGCTTAACAGCCTCCAAAGGAATTCAAAGTCTGGAAGTCAAACTATGTTCCACCTCCAGAGACCTACACTACTGAGAAGAAACCTCCTCCTCCAGAGCTGGATATGGCAATAAAATGGTCTAACATATATGAAGACAATGGTGATGATGCCCCACAGAACGTTAAGAAAGCTAGGCTTCTCCCAGAAGGGGAGGAGACAGTGGAATCAGGTAAGAGCCAGACTCCGGCGGTAACACCCTTTGGTCCCTGTGATGAGTTTAAGAAGCTCTCGATAATTAGTGAATGAAATCGCGAGTTAACAGATGGATTATGATGGTCTTTGAATATTTTTTACTGTGTTTTTGAAAAAGATAGTATATAGTCAGCCTTGAAGCTCTCATATCTCAACCAGTAGTATTTGCTGTGTTTTAGAAAAAGATCATAAGTTATTCAGGCTTTAAAGTGAAATCTCTGATATATCAAGCAGTAGTTTATATGTGATTTGTGATGCCTTATTAGAACAATATGAGTTAATTTATGGTTTCTTGTGATTGCAGCTGTGAAGACTTCATTTTATATTAAAGGAGTTGTGCTTTAGAGTGAAAATTGGTGTGACAAAATGAATTTAACTGAGGGTTACTCTGTAGTGATTAAAAATAGTAATAGGAAAATAATGACTTAGTTGTCTTGTCTTTATTTGTAATATTATAATTTTATCTCTTACTTGAACTATAAGTAATCACAGTAATCTCTGCTTCCACACTTTATCCCCCAATTCCACCTTTCACACTGCAGCTAAGGGTCACTTTCTAAAAATCATACATGATTATATAACTCACCTGCTTAACACCCTTCGTAAACAGCATAGAGGCAAAGCCGCCTCTGATAGGCTCTGCTTTTCTCTTCACCCTTATTTCACATGGCCTCCTTTCTAGGACTTCTTAAGATCTGAAAATTGAAAACTGAATAGACCGTGCTATTTTATAGTTATATGCCTTTCCATATATGTTGCACCTTAGTCTGGAGTGTTCTTTCCTTCCTCTTTGGCTAGTGAACTCACTTATCCTTCAAAATCCAACTCAAAAAAAATCTCAGATATCACCTCCTTTTAATTATTTGCTCCTCTGTACCTTGTGTGTTTTAATGCTGTTGATTGCACTTACCACCTTTTATGTGATTAGTTCTAAGTCTGTCTCCTTTATGAAAATGAGTTCCTTAAACAGCAGGGTGCAGGTCTTATTTATGTTTGTATCATAGTTTGTAGTATACATGTACATTTTAAGTATTCAGTGGACAGTTGTTGAATTGGACTAAATATTTTGGACTTAAATTTTAATGAAAAATTGTATCATTTTTGTTAAACAGATTTCTGGCCTTCCTGTAATACAAGGGCAACCTACCTAGCTTCTTTTACAGTCATGCAGAGAGTTTTGTTTGTTTAGAGAAAGGGTAACTAACTGGTGGTTCTTATTCCACATGGCTTTTTCATTTCTTTCACTGATTTCCCAATGTGGATTAGAAGTTACTAATTAAGGCACATTTTCAGTAAATGGCATCTTTTTGGAGGTGCCAAGCAAAGGGGGCATTTAAAATACCTCATATTGTGTAGTATTTTATATAATTAATTTTTAAAAAACACTTTCACATAACCACTCTTTAATCCTTATTATGCCAAGGAAATGTGGAAATGAGAACTCGTGTGACTTGTCCAGCATCACAGAATGGCAAGCTCTAAGATAGGTACCTTCACAAATTCAGGTGGTTCAAATGGAAATGATGTATTATTACACTGGAATTTAGTTTCGATGTCTTTCTAGCTAGAGTGCTTGAGAAATATTCTATAGGAAGAATGGCATTAAGGCCACTAGAGTTGATATTCTAACTAGGATGCCATAGGCAGCTGCAGTCCTTTGTTCCTCTGTGGAAAAGGTGAGGATTGTATATCCAGGACAAATGGAAAGAATTATCTCCACCCCCCTCTTCCCACCTTGCCTATTGAATTCAGATAGAAGGAATTCCAAATATTTTGCAAATAATACTGCTATTGCCATAGATGATTTCTGACCTTTTGATCATAGGACATTCCTCCATCAGAAGGTAAATGTTGTCAATATTAAAAAAACAAAAGGACCAGTTTAAAGCTGGATCACAAGATTAAAAGATAATGCTGAAATCCTCAATTTTGACTTTTAATATTGGTTATTGAATATAACTATCCTCTTTGTGTAATAAATACCTTCCTTTTTGAATTGATCTTTTTTTTTTTTGCCATTTCAGACTTCCATGTCACTATAAAATCAATTTTCCTGACATCATTTTTTACCTTTTGTTTAAATCCATAAAATATCTTGCATTAGAAGCCCCAAACTCCTAAATTATCTGAGTTTTTAAATTATCAAATTACTTTTCCTCCCATTTTTCTGCCCTTTTGCCCTTTTTACCAGTTAACTTCTTCCAGATATTTCAAAAAAGGAGATGGGAAAGATTCAAAACTGGTCACTGAGACTTGCTACTTATTAGCACCTCTCCTTTAGTGGTTGTAAAGTATAGATCAGTGAGCCTGCCTTTAGTTGTAGCTTTATTAATATGTAATTAATCGTGAAAGCATAGCTGAAGTAGCAAATGCTCTTTTTTAATTTAGAAAATTAATAATTTAAACTTATTTCCATCTAGTGGCATGAATTCCATAATAGAAAAATTACCTTCTTACTAGAGCATCTATAATATATGACAGAGGGTAGTAAAGTGAATGAATGAGCATTTCAGGGTTTTGGAGTTGTTTTGTTTAATCCTGTTCTGATATTTAAAGCAGTGCCTTGTAATGTCAGTAGATGGCATTAGCTCTTCTGTTCCAGTCACTTGATAGGAACTTGTTTTTCCAACCTCAGTAATTTGTGTTTTTGTTATTGTTCAGTAAATGTACTTGTAACAAGTGTTAGATTAAAAGCAGAAGTGTCTTAAGATCATCTTTTTTTAATAGATGTTAACAGATTTCCTAGAAGAGTTAGAAAGTAATATTTTTATTTTTTATTTAATCTTTATTGTATTTTTCCCCCATTATCATTTAGACCCCTTATACCCCCTCCTCCCAGCAATCACCACATACTGTTGTCCATGTGTCCTTTTTCGTTTTTGCTCAATCCTTCCCCACCCTTACCTTCCTGCCCTCAGAGCTGTCATCTGCTCTCCATCTATGAGTTTTCCCCCATTTTCCTTATTAGTTCGGTTTGTTCATTAACATCTACATGCAAGTGCAATTATGTGGTATTTGTCTTTCTCTGACTGGCTTATTTCAACTTAGCATAATGTTCTCCAGGTCCATCCATGCTGTTGCAAAGGGTAAGGTTTTCTTCTTTTTACAGTCGAGTACTATTCGATAGTATATATGTCCCATGGTTGTTTTATCCACTCATCTATTGATGGACACTTGGGCTGCTTCCATATCTTGGTGATTGTAAATAACTCTGCAATGAACATAGGGATGCATATGTTCTTTTGAATTCGTGTTTTGGGTTCCTTAGGATACATTCCCAGAAGTGGGATCACTGGGTCAAAAGGCAGATCCATTTCTAATTTTTTGAGGTATCTCCATACTGCTTTCCACAGTGGCTGCACTAGTCTGCATTGAAAGTAATTTTAATCTTTACGTGTCTGAAAATAATCTCCAAATTCAAGCATGATGATAATTAAACTCCAATTCAAAAGCAAAGCCCTTGGTTTATTTGAGCTGCATGTTATCTTAGTTGTAGAACAAGTATTTTTGTTATACATAATGAACTACTGATTAAAACTTTTGTTTGTAAATTCCTGGGATAATTTGTTGAGCTGAACTGTGTTTCATCCTGTCAACATAAATACATAATGCTTTATGAAATGCATGAATAATGTTTCCATGCTGTGTTTGAAGATGAATGAAGATGAATCACCTGCTCTTGATACTAATTATTGTCCATATCAACAAAGGAGACACAGTTAGCAGAAGGAAATTGAAGGCTTATGGTTTAAAATGTATTTCCTCTGTAGTTTGTGATCTTATATCAGTGGCTTCTCAGATTTTTTAATATGAAGGATACTTTAAACATCAAAATATTTTATTTATAGACTACCATGTGATTGTTGAACGGTGAGTACCTATTGAACAAGAAAATAAAGTCAGAAGTACAATTAATTCAGTAATGTGCTTAAAATAAATTTTTATTTTATAAATCATAACATCTTCTACATGTTATTTATTCCATCTATATGGAGTTCTAAAAACAAAGCCACACATTTGTTCGGAGAAATTGGAAATTAGCAGCTGGTCTGTGCTACCCTGCATTTTATTAAAACATGGATATTTTAAATTGAATAAAAGGGTCTGCTTTTTCTTTTTTGACATTTATATTGGAAATTTTCTGTGGCTACAAACATTAATAGTATTTATGAAAAGTTATAAAGGGCACAGTTTAATGTAAGATTCTTGTCCATCCTCCCTCTTCAAAATTCTTCACAATATGATAGAGGGAAGATGCCAGCTTTTCTGTTACCATTGGAATAGTCTCACCTTCCTTGGAATGGGAGAGTGAGGGTAGGGGGAGTAGAACTACCTATATAGGACAAAATTGAAAACATAGTTTTCTAAAACATCTACTTGCGAGTGATTTATTTTTTAACTGCATAATGTACAGGGCCAGAGAATAAGGTAAGGAGGGTGGTAGTTTGGCAGAGAGAGAAAGCGTATTGGAAGGGGAAGAAGAGCTGATAGCCACTTAAATAACATGGTTAAATTGTTTTGTTTTTTTTGTAAAATAGACAATATCTTCCATTTGTGGAAAGTGTAGGTTATATATTTAAATACACATAATGTGTATTCTGTATAATAGATGGGAATAGCTTTTTCAGAACAAACTTGATTTTATTTTAAGCTACCTTAATATAGCACTGAAGTCTGTGAATTTTGTATTACACAATTGAAAAAAAATTCCTTATTTTTACTTCCACTTTAAAATCAGTTCTAAAAATTAGTTTTTGGTTTTTTACTGGAAAACTGAAACAAACATTAGTGTTTTAATGCTTAACTCTGAAAATTACTGATTGAAACTCTTCCTTTTCTGTTTAAAGATGAAGAAAAAGATGAGCATACTTCTAAAAAGCGCAGAGTAGAACCAGGAGAACCGACAAAGAAGAAAAAGTAGAAAACAGCAAACAACAAGAAATTTTGGACTGCAAAACTATTGAAATGTTTTTTTGACAGATAAGTTGATATTGTAAATTATTATGAAACATCATCCTCATGAAAGTACATGAATTAACTAATAAGTATTGCTGCAGGAACTTCCCACTGTAGAATTCACTTTTTATTTAAAATTTGTGTGTATTTAAAACTCAGATGGTGACTTGTGATTGTGAAGTTGACAACACTTGGGAGCTTTCTTGCTATCAGAATTGGTGACATGCTTTAAGCGTTCTGTCACATGTTGACATGCCAATGTCCTATGAACCTTTTATAAAGGAATATATTTTTAAAGTAAATATATTGTAACATACTGTGAACTTGTAGGGTGCTTTTCAACAGTGTTTGTACAGTGTAAATAGATCATGGAAATAAAAGTGCTTATTCAATATTACTGTTACTGCATAACATTAACATCTGAATATCTGTGACAAATACTCTCTTTGCCATGTGATGTTAGTAGTAGGTATTAGCATTTAGGGAGTGCCTCCTGTGTTCCGGGGGCTTTGTGCGTATATTATCTCTGATCTGCTAACAGCCTAGTAAAGCATGTGTTAGTAGCCTCATTTTATAATAAAGAGTGATTAACTTCTCCCAGGTTACACAGCAAGTGAGAAATTAATTTGGGATTCAATTCATGATATTTGAACTCGAAAATCGTCACACTAAACTACCTGTCCACCAGTCAATTTAGGAACTGCATTTGGTATCTCTTCCAGGTACTCTTGTGGTAGTTAGTGGAGCGCCTCTCCTCGTGTGATTGTTCATATTACTGCGCTTATCATACACATACACCTTACTTGTCAGTTTCCCTGTTAAATAGTAAGTTTTGCTAAAGATAATCTTCTACAAAGAGTTGTCAGATGCCTCAAATAAAAATACAGGACATATAGCTAAGTTTGAATTTTAGATAAACATCAAATAATGTTTTAGTGTAGGTAATATTTAGGACCTGTTTATACTAAAAATTTATGAGAAATTCAAATTTAAATGGGTATCTTGTATTTTTATCTGCCAACTCTATTTCTATGTGTTTACCCACCTCCTATTTTAGTGCTTTGCGTATTGTAATAATAAAATCAACAAGGTTGTAGTTAGGAAGAGAATCTTTGACTTGACTTACACAGTCCAAAATACAGTGCTGCTATTTGTGACATTTTGAACAATAAAAAGAAATACACTACATCAGTCTTTTCATGATTCTTATGCTTTTAAGAAACAAATATTAATTCTAGGGCACTGTGCATTTAGTGTATAAGAAAAAGGCTTTAGTTTTTGAGTTTTAAAAAAATGCCCAGTCCAGTTGTTTCTCCCACACTGGAAGCCAATGTTTGAAAAACTACATTTGTTAGTTAGGAACATGATCAACTAGATTAAAATTTGTAAGTCATTAAAAATATGTTTTGTGGAGTGAAGAACACAACAATATGATGGTTGCTAGTATATATCAAAATTACAAAAACCAGTTCTGCAGCTGCTTATCCCCTAGGTTTACAAATGTTTGAATACCAAAATTGAAGTAATTGTTAAAGAAACTTTGTAGAAACTTTAAGTTTAAGGTCTTTGTTTGTGAGCAGTTTTGAGGACTGTCCTATCATATACCAACGAGTAGCATCAGCTGGTAAAGCATGACCCCAGTATGACACCAAATTAAATTAACAGAATAATTGAGGAAATATCTATAGTCTGGATGCATGTATTGGTGGAGCAGATATCTCAAGGTACTGAAATACTACAAGGTAAAAAAATAACCATGAAAGCAAACCATAACCCCACAAGAAGAAAAAAGCCCCGCAAGCCACTGTCTGGAAATCTTTTTAACCTCTTTTTGTTCAACTCCCAACTTATACCAGGTAGTTCAAGACAAAACCAGAAGTCACTATACATCTGCCCCCAGGGGTGCTTTGAACCTCCTTTCTAGAAGGTAATGATGGAGGGGGAACAAATGGTTTTTTGGAGGGGTTGTGTTTTGATGTTTAGGACAGGTAGTGGCTACACTTGAGAGATTATTAAGCAACTGCTGGGAGTTGTGCACCTGTGAAATACAGGTCAAGCTAGTTTTAATTTGAAGGGGAAGAGAGGATTTGAGGAAGCAGGCTAATATTTTGGAGCAGTCTCATCGACATTTGTATCTTGGACTTCATTTCAAAATATAGCCAATTAATGAAAGGAGGAATGAACTTGTGTATGGATTGTTTCACCTTCCACAGAGACATCTTTGGTTAGAAAGAGGACATTTCACTTTCTACACCTGTAACTATATTAGAGCATGGAGCCTTCTCCCCTTCACAGATGTCTTGGGAACATGTTTGTTTAGGTGTCCATTTGGGTACTGAGGTAAGGGATGTTTGTTTCAGCTAGTGAAAATCCAGTGAAGAATATTACTAAAAATCCATATAGATGAGGAAAATCCTTTGTCCAAATTGCTTGTTAGAGAATCAAATCACTATTTCTGATTGTTTCTTCATTTTTAGGGTAAGGAAGTTATGTCAGTCATGAAGGACTTTCTGTTGTACAAGGATAAAATTGGAGAAAAAAAATTTGAGAATATAATGTAGGCTTTCGTGGGCCATGTTTTAAAATTCAAAGTGTAACTAGCCTTACAGGGTTTTATGAAAAACACTCTAAATGGAATCAGCATTATTAAGAAAATTGACTGCTTTTTAGCCATTAAAATACTAATACCGAATTATTTGCAAACTTGAAACGTTCTGATCTTAATTCTGTACAGTGCTTTTGAGTTCACAGAGTTCAATCACATAGTATTTTACTTTTGAGAAGCCAAATGAAGTAGGTTTTAATCATTTCCAAAAGAGAGAATGTATAATTAAAATATGAATGGACTAATGCAGGTTTGAACATGACCCACATATAAAACATGTTGCCACATGATTAAGTTAGATACAAAGCCCTACAAATACAGAGATTTGAAAATGCAATTATTTTTTACAGGTATCTGAATGAACTTAGCAACTCAATTCAATAAATCAAAACTGACAAATACAATCCACAATTGGACTTTCATATGTATCATTGATGGTATTTTGGATTTTAGAGTCTTGTGTTCGTACACAACTGCTCCCATTTTACTCCGTTATCACATAGTACAGAAGTCCCAAAAGGTTCTACGTGTTAACCGTAGAAGGTGTTAAGTTCCCAGCAAATGTTTTGGACTTTTCATTAAATTCCAAAGTTTTCTATCTTAATACCTTCCACTTAGTTTTCTCAATTTGAAGCACTGTATTTGCATTTTAATGTGGGGAGGGGGGAAGCTACCAAGAAACATTTGTGTGTGTGGCGCCTGGGGTGGGACTTTTTGTTTGTTCCGTTCATTGATAAGAACAATGCCTGCCACATGGTAAGCACTCAGTATGACGGCTAAACATTGATGGGAAGCTGAATTTCTCACCCCAGGCTTAGGGGTGATCCAGCAGAGGTTTGAGTTCAGTTTTCTGTCATTTTCAGTCAAAACATCCAAATTGATGTGAGACTTTTTCTCTCCTTTGATTTCTTCCAGGGCCCCATGCTATTCTGGTTCACTTCTCTTTATTTCCTCTGGCTCCTTCTCTTGCACCTGTCCTTGGATGCCAGCGTAGCTTATGTTGTTGCCTTCTCATTCTCCGCACTTGTTCCTTTTTTCCCCCTCTTTTGAGAGAGAAACATCAATTTGTTGTTCCGCTCATTGACGCTTTCATGAGTTGATTCCTGTATGTCGAGGATTGAACCTGCAACCTTGGCGTATTGGGACGATGCTCTAACCAACTGAGCTACCCATCTAGAGCCACACTGGTTCTTGATTCCAGCCAAGTTTCAGCCCCAGATTTGCATGTCCAACTGTATTTTCCCTTGGATCTCAAAGGTGCCTCACATTCGGGATGTCCAAAACCAAGCACATTGTGTCAAAACCCGTGTCACCTTCCATATTTCATTTCATGTCAATGGCATCACCCACCAACCTAGAAATTGGCCCTCTGCCTCACTTCCCATCACATAGGTTTGATCAGTAAGTCCTGAAGTTTCTCATTCTCACATACCTCTTAATCCAGCTCTAATGAATTGTTTACAATCCCCTAGACATGCTATTAGTGTCATAGTTCTGTGCCTTCTCTTGTACAATTTGCTTGGCCTAGCCCTTCATCTACTTAGTGAACCCCCATCTTATCCTCCAAGAAGCAGTTCAAACATTCCCTCCTTTATGTACTTTTTTTCTTTTATCTCTGGATCCGAACCTGTGCACATCTTTCCTCCATGGTCAGTACTAAATGACTAGGCAACATTTGCTGAGTACTTACCATGTGCCAGGCTTGTTCTTGGTGCTGTACATGTAGTAACTCATTTAATTCAATGAGGCATGGGATATGACCAGCCGTACTTCTCGGGAGAAAACTAAGGCGCAGAGAAGTTAAGTGATTGGCTCAAGGTACTAGAGCTAAGAAGGGCAGGCACTATGGCTCCAGGCCCAATGGGTCTCCGAGCTACACTGAAGGTGAGGAAGGAGCGCCCAAATGAGCCAGTAGATTGATTTATTAATTCTTGTCTGTTTCATTCAAAAAATGACTTACCCCTAGAAGGCGCTCACAATACAAATATTTGGATAATTAATGAATCTAAAACCAGTTCACCAGAAGTGCAGAATTTGTGGAATACACTCGAAACATCTTTCTGATAGATTAGGTTGGGGTAAAGGGAAAGTCAATATGTAAATATTTTAAGAGAATTTAATGCATATTTCAACAATAGCTTATTACATATGTGGAGTATTTCTAATTAAAAGTTTTAAAACAATAGGACTGAATATATCTCTGTCCCTCCAAAAATATATTTTAGCTTTTCAATTGTTTTTTTTAAAGTCTACCTTTTTTAAGCAAGTAGTGAGATAGCTTTAAGCCACAGATTTTGCCTCAAATTTCACTGGCTTTTCTCTAACATTTCAAATTATGGCTTGAATTTAAAATCACAGCACCAGGGCGTGGGAAGTGCCCCAGAGGTCCTGGGTGCAGCCTTCACATAACATACGAATGTCTTCTCTGTGATCTTTGCCTCTTTTTTCTAGGCTCATAGACAAGCCCATGAAATGACAGGTTTACAGGCTGGATTTGAAAAGCCATTTCCTGTGTGTCTGTAATATTTTGGTACCCAGGGTCTGGGATTCCTGTTTCTTTCCCTGTGTTTACCATTTTCTGAAAAAGGAGAACAGGATTTGGTGCATACCATTGAAGTAAAAGTGCAGCTCTATTCCTGTATAATTACCTGTTTTTATTTCTAAATGGGACCAAATTCTAGCAACCTTCCAAGAACACTGGGGAGTTTGCATTAACATTTTAAATTTAGAATTCCTGAGAGAAACCAAGGAAATAACAAAACAATTACTTCCAGCTAAGGAGGTGACTGGTCTGCCAGCAAAGCTATATATAAGTGAGTCAACTCAGACAATTTCTCTAAGGTTCACCTGCCAGGGGGATTTTAAGACCCTGTTGTTAGCTTTTGCTATTTTTCAGTTTGGACACACACACCTCTCTCCTGAGGCTCTAGCAGTAAATAGAACCTTCCTCTTCTCTTTACCAGGCTCTGCCTCCAGGCCTTCCCCTCCAATCTTCTTAGCTACAAAAAGTGGCCGGAAAGCCTTAACAGTAAAATGTCTTCCATAACGTCTGGAATCCATATGTCAAATCTGTAAGGCATAAGCTCTTGATTTTTTTCTTTTTTAATTGAGGCTTAATGACTTGAGCTCCAAGTACCCACTGCCACTGCTTCCCTCCATACCAAACTAATCAGGGTAATTACCTGAGCCGTCCATGGCTACAGGTCTGTTAAAGCCTGTTATTGAGGTTAACAAATGAGAGGGTTAATTTCTCTAGACTGCTCCATAGTTGGGAAAGAAAGATAATAAACCCTTACAATGGAGGGTGCTTTTGAGTTTTCAAGCTTTTGTCTACACCAAGCTGCCACCCTGGAGAAGGGCTTACTTTGGGATTCCAGACTGTCTGGAACCCTGAGGTAAGTGACTTAATTCTGAACTGAAGCCCTGGAATTCACTATCACTCATGAAAGAGGCTCCTACAGTCTTGCTGCTTCAACTGTGTAAAAAAGATTTTGATGCTTTTTTTTTTTTTTTAAAGAAATAGTATTGCCAGGTAGTAGCCTCTGGCACCAACTTGGAGATGTTGAC